ACCGTCCCATAAAGCCACATGCTTTACATGGGACTTCTCTGATGTTTACTCATGGCCCTTTTACAATAGAGAAATATTTATCCAGCCCCAGCTATACAAATTCCAAAACTAGGCAACAACAACCCAAACACCCTACTGGTGGCCTAGGATACAGGGCTACATGCGACAGCATAGGGTAATCTCAAGCACCCCGCTAAAGCTGCACTCTGCACGACCCCAGTTGATTGTCATTCTGGAAAAGGCAACTCCTGCAGAAGGAAAACCGGTCCAGTGAAGGACTTTGGGGACTGGGGCAGAGGGAAGGCACTGACTACCAACGCACAAAGGGAGTCCTAGGAGTAATGCAAATGTTCTCCGGCACAGCTGAACTTCCTTCGTATAACGGCCTGTGTTTGTCAAAGTCCACACTGTACACCGAGAGGTGACTTTTAGTATATTTAGATTACACCTCAGTGAATCTGACTTTTGAAAAGGGAGTTACTGAGTCAGTCCTAGTCCTGAACCACGTGCCAAATGTGCTTTTCATTTTAACAGCAAAAAGTAAACCTTACGTCACAAATATCTCTTGTGCATCTTGCACAAAATGCACTGAAGTCCCTACAGGACTTGTTAAATGAGCTAGCAGCTTACTAAGGACTATGGCAAATTCCAGGACTGACTGGGGAGCTGGCTCGGTGGGTCAGAGCACTTGCTGCTACTGAGTCCATATCCTCAGCACCCTTCTGAAAGCCAGGTATGGCTGCTGAAGCCTGGAAGCCCAAGCTGAGAGGAGGCAGCAGTTCACTGGCTAGTCAGCTAGCTGGAAACCCCCAAGCTTCCAGGTCAGTGAGGCCCTGTTTGAAGGGGACAGGCAGAGAGTGGCAGAGAAGGACATCCTCTTCCAGTTTTCCCCTGACTGTGTGCAACCTCCATACCACCCTCTTCTCCCTCCCCAGTCTCCCCCTTCCCCCAACCTCTTCACCTCTCTCCCCCTCCCCTTTTCTCTCCCTGTCCCTTCCTCCCTACCCTTCTCTCCAGGACTTTTCCAATTGAATTAAAATAAGACCCTGTTTTTCTTAAACTAGGGAAGCTCTTTTTACTCGGAGAGAGAAGCAGTATTATAAACTCGAATTTCTAATCAATAACTTCAGTAGACTTTTTTTTCATCTCTAACTTCTGTCTTCAGAAGCAAACATTGGAAAGCTCACATAGATGCTGGGCTCTGACATCCTTCTGGCGGGACAACCAAAGGAGCCAATAATGTTCAACAGCATTCATAGTGCATGGATTCAAGTATTTCACATGGCCAACCACCCACCAACAAATCCTCCAGAAGAAATGTTATGAAGGGGCTGTCGTTCCCTCCCCAAAAGAGCAAACAGCTCCCCAGACATTAAACAGGGGCTTCAGTGCTGTTCTTTAGAAAGCTGAAAAAAAAAAAAACCTGCAGAAAGGAGAATATAACACTTTGTCTACATTTTTGATACATGCATTAAAAAAAAAACAATAATTCAAAACCGTGGCTTGAAAGTCTTTGAGCTTTGTGTCAGCAGAGGAGAGTTCTGGAATTACTGGCTTTGGCCCAGCAGTAATACAGACCACATGCTGAAACCCACAGCATGGGCCCTCTACTGAAGCAGAGAAACCCTGTCTTGTGGAGGGAGCATCCTTGGACAGACGCTCCACTGGTGTGCAGGGTCTCAAACTCTGCCAAGCACTGTTACAAAGTTGTCAGTCTCCAGCTTGAAAAGAAAAAAGGGCTCACAGCATAGGAATTGTTTAATGATGTCAATGTGTGAATGGAAATTAAAATTGGATGCCAGCTGCCCTCAGAGCAACTGGTATTTTTACCCTGTTGAATGTTAAAGGAATGTCAGCGCCGGTTCTTCCATGAATCCTGTGTGAACATGGAAAATGTCAGCAGTTCTGCTGCAAGGCGATGTAATGAGGCGGGGTGGCTGCCTCAGCCTTCCTTCTGTACAGCAAACCAGCTGCTCAGTGGCCAAGATCTTCTACTGCAGGAGGTGTCTAAAGTGCATGTGGGTTTTGTGGCTAGGTAGTACAATAAGCAAATAAAATAGGATTCCTTAAGATAAAGCTTTGCCCAATCCAGCTTCCAGTCATTACAATTTAAGACATAACTATGTTATTCCAGTGGCAGGTAAGACAGAACTTCAAAATACAGGGTAATAAACACAAAGCATAAGAAACCTAAATTATAATTCAACAACCTCTCGCACCCCATCTTCAACCAAAATTATGTACAATCCAGTTGTTCACAGGGGCAGGACAAAGCTTCTCTTATTCTTAACAGAAGCTGAATCTAGATCAACCACAATATGGTAACAGTGGCTACACATTCCCAGGCTGTGACAACAGCACCCTGTGCCACGCTACCCCATCTGCCAGGTGTGCCATTCAGACTCCTTGTCACTGTGACAGGTACCTGAGAGAAATAATTTAGAGGAATTTACCTTGTCTCACAGTTTCAGGGCTCTGAGTTCACTGGTTTGGGCCTCAAATGAAGGAGACCATCATGGCAATGGAGCATGCTTTGGAGGAGGTTGCTCACCACAGCAGCCAGGAAGCTGAGAAAGCATATTCATACTTCTGGGCTTCCTCCTTCCTCCTATATTCCATCTGGACCCCTGGCCTATTAGATATTTCTAGTCACATGCAGAGAACATGGAAACTTTCTCATTGACACACTCAGAAAGGTACTTCAACAATCTCCTAAATGTTTCTCAATCCAACCAAACTGACCATCAAAACCAACCTAATTACATCAAAACTAACTAATACAGAATGGAATATTTTAGCATATTTGATGAGAATAAAAAAGTTCAAACAGTTTTCCTTATTAGATGGGGCTTATAGAGAGATTTAGAAACTGTCCCGTGTCTGTGACATGGCTTAGCAGGGGAAAACCTTGCTGTTGCAAGCCTAATAGCCTGAGATAGATCCCCAGAACCCATACAGAAAGTCAGAGGCAGTGGTGCACATCTGTAACCCTAGCACTCCTATGACGATATAACATGATTGGATTGCTGTACCCCATCTTCCTCCATCACTGTACCCCATCATCCTCCATCAATGTACCCATCATCCTCCATCAATGTACCCATCATCCTCCATCACTGTACCCATCATCCTCCATTGCTGTACCCCATCATCCTCCATCGCTGTACTCATCATCCTCCATCACTGTACCCATCATCCTCCATTGCTGTACCCCATCATCCTCCATCACTGTACCCATCATCCTCCATCACTGTACCCATCATCCTCCATTGCTGTACCCCATCATCCTCCATCGCTGTACTCATCATCCTCCATCACTGTACCCATCATCCTCCATCGCTGTACCCCATCATCCTCCATCAATGTACCCATCATCCTCCATCAATGTACCCATCATCCTCCATCACTGTACCCATCATCCTCCATCGCTGTACCCCATCATCCTCCATCACTGTACCCATCATCCTCCATCACTGTACCCATCATCCTCCATCGCTGTATCCATCATCCTCCATCACTGTACCCCATCATCCTCCATCACTGTACCCCATCATCCTCCATCGCTGTACCCCATCATCCTCCATCAATGTACCCATCATCCTCCATCGCTGTACTCATCATCCTCCATCACTGTACCCATCATCCTCCATCACTGTACCCATCATCCTCCATCGCTGTACCCATCATCCTCCATCACTGTACCCATCATCCTCCATCACTGTACCCATCATCCTCCATCGCTGTACCCATCATCCTCCATCGCTGTACCCATCATCCTCCATCACTGTACCCATCATCCTCCATCACTGTACCCATCATCCTCCATCACTGTACCCATCATCCTCCATTGCTGCATCCATCATCCTCCATCACTGTACCCATCATCCTCCATCACTGTACCCATCATCCTCCATCACTGTACCCATCATCCTCCATCACTGTACCCATCATCCTCCATCACTGTACCCATCATCCTCCATCACTGTACCCATCATCCTCCATCGCTGTACCCATCATCCTCCATCGCTGTACCCATCATCCTCCATCGCTGTACCCATCATCCTCCATCAATGTACCCATCATCCTCCATCACTGTACCCATCATCCTCCATCACTGTACCCCATCATCCTCCATCGCTGTACCCCATCATCCTCCATCGCTGTACCCATCATCCTCCATCGCTGTACCCATCATCCTCCATCGCTGTACCCCATCATCCTCCATCGCTGTACCCATCATCCTCCATCACTGTACTCATCATCCTCCATCACTGTACCCATCATCCTCCATTGCTGCATCCATCATCCTCCATCACTCTACCCCATCTTCCTCCTAGCCTGGAAGGGGTAGAGGATGAGGATACAGCTCAGTGCTTGCCTAGCATCTGCCAGGCCCTGGGTGAGATCTCAGTAACATAAGAGAGAGAGAGAGAAGAGAGGAAAAGGAAGGACTGGAAGAGGAGAAGAAGAGAAGAAAGGAAGAAGAGAGAAAGGAAAATAGAGGAAAGGAGGAGAACAAGGAGAAAAGGCAGAGAAAAGGGAAGAAGGAAGAAATTGTAAATATTCTGAAGACACAATGTCAAGTGGTACTTAATTGTCCACTCTACAGACTGTGAGCTGTGCTAGGGGATGAGTACTCTATTATCTGAGTACGATGTTTCATTTTCTATATAACACTAAACTGGATAAATGGAATTAGCTGTAAGAGTTTCTGTTTGTAAAGAGAAAACAATATTGCCTTTGATTTTAATACATTATTAATTCTTTAAGAATTTCATATCATTTATTTTTTTCATACTCACCTCCCTCTTCTTCCCCTACGTCAAACTGACTTTTGAAACTCACCCTGACACTATGAAAAAATAGAAACAATTTTCTATGGGAAAAACAAAAGATACATAATTCTGATTCATCTTCCACCTCAAGAGAACAACCTAGAAAATCTAACCACAGGCTACTGTCTACTTCCTAATACCAAGAAGATAAACACAGAACTCTACCTTCTCTGGTGCAGGGAGGCTGCTGGGCTCCTCTGTTTTCCTTAGTTCCTTTAGGGAGTCACATCCATATATCCTGTCTTTAAGGCCATGAAGCTGGGCATCGAGCATGTGGTGATGGAGAGCGCCCTGGGGGCCTTGGGGGAAAGGACCACCATGCAGGTTCTGAGTCATGTTTGCTGAGACACCGAGCACGGGCTCCAGGCTAGACTCTGTTAGAGAGACATGAGGCAGAAACCCCACACCTGGAAGGCTGATGTACTGAGAGCTTTCCTGTGGCCTCAGCAAAGCTTCCGGCACGGCCTTATGCTCGTTTCCAGGGAGACCACGCCTATCGGTGGTTGCGTTTTCTAAGTGTTTCCTCTCTACTGGAGTGGAATGCAGAATGGCAGGCTGTAGCAGCACAGGCTCCATTCGGTGCGACTTCTCGGGAGCTGCTGGGAGAGAGCAGGGGTGCAATGGCGGAACGCTGGTCTGTCTGAGTGAAGGCTGACCCAGCTGCTGCAGCACTTGCTGAAATGGGTGCTGGAGAACATCTGCTCTTCCAGAAGTCTGTGTCACCATGACTGGAACATTAACTTTGTAAAGGTGACCTTAAGAAGGAGGGGGAAAAGGTAAGTATAATGCGATTCTCTTTCAGTTGTGTGTGTGGTACGTCTGTGGTGTCCACAGGTGTGCTCACAGACACCAGAGAAGGACATCGGTGTCCCGTGCTGTCACCCTCCGCCTCATTCCTTAAGGCAGGAGCTAGGCTGTAACCAGGAAGTCCCAATGGTCCTCCTGTCTTTGCTCTGCACAGCACCAGCTTTTTTCATAAGTGATGGGGATTTGAACTCAGGTCCTTTGGCTTGCTGTGTGAGAGCTCTTACCCACTGCCATCTCCTCAGCCCAGTCTAAGAGAATTCTAGTTTATTTCAATGAATAAATCGATATATGAATAAGTGAATGGTTATTGTCTCTGGGAATTATTTTAAGATATTTTGTGTTTTCTGCAATAAATACCCTCTTTTAAACTCTAGCCTTTCCCCTCCTATTTTTAACTGACATAATTTGGTCACACAGGCCACCAATATTTAATCCATGAGTCTCTTCTACTGGAAAAATGGATGTTATTGACACACAAAGCCTCTTCTCTCTCCTTCCTTTAAAATAACACTCAGAAGGAAGCTACATTTTAGCAGTGAATTAGAAACGTAAACTTTACAGCAACCCAAATAAGTCTGCACATTTTTCAAACCAAGAGAGGGTCCTGCAAGCCTGTCCTTTCTACTAAGCCATGAACTGTGGAGTAAGAAGGAGGCAGGAGCTGGGCAGCCTTGGTTAGCACTACAAAACAGAGGTGCATGCTATCTTCGTCAGGGTTTCCAGTGCTGCGATGGAACACCATGACCAAAAGGCAAGTTGGGGAGGAAAGGGTTTATTCAGCTTATACTTCAGCATTGCTGTTCATCATTGAAGGAAGTCAGGACAGGAACCCAAACAGGGCAGGATCCCGGAGACAGAAGCTGATGCAGAGGCCATGGAGGGGAGCTGCTTATTGGCTTGCTTCCCCTGGCTTGCTCAGCCCACCTTCTTATAGAACCCAGGACTAGCAGCCAAGGGATGGCACCACCCACAATTGCTGGGCCCTCCCCATTGATCACTAAATGAGGAAACGAAATGCCTTACAGCTGGATCTCAAGGAGGCATTTCCTCAGTGAGACTCCTTCCTCTGATGACTCTAGTTTGTGTCCAGTTGACACAAAACCAGCCAGTACACACGCTATCACTTTATATTTGCTAAAACTGAGATGAATGGGTCAGCAAGCTGTCTCAGAAGGTACCGTCCCCAGGACTTACGTGGTAGAAGGGAAGAAGCAGCTGCCACAGGTGTCCTCCGACCTCCATGTACACACACCTCCACTCCCACAGACACACAAATAAATTAAACATAACTCTACATTTTTGTGTTAATTTTTTAAGATTTATGTGTATGAGTGTTTTGCTGCATGTGTGTGTATGTGCACCATGTGCATGCAGTACTCATGGAAGTCAGAAGAGGGGGTCAGATTCCCCTGGACCTGAAGTTATGGAGGACTCTGAACTACCAGGTGGATGCTGGGACTTGGACCCAGGTCCTCTGGAAGAACAAGTGCTCTTTACCACTGAGCCATCTCTCCAGCCCCTAATTTAATGTTTTTAATGAAAAACAATAAAATTAAGCTAGCTAATTTGAATTGAATTGAATATATACTAAGTCCCTAATTCATAGGAAAGAGAACTGGGAATGAGCCATAGGACAGGCCCAGCTCAGTGTCTTCTGTGCTGCATTTCTTTCCTACCAATCACAACTGCTATTTATTTTCTACTTTAAAAATTTTATTAGAGGCTCCTATCGCCTCTAACATACAGTTTACTAAAACTCAGGAAAACTTTCAGGAAGTGGAGGGAGGCTGTGAAGGGTTGATACAATCAAACTACATGAGAAATTCTCAAAGAACAAATACTTTTTAAAAGATCACATCACTTAATGTCCATGTTAAAATGAATATCCTTAGAATAGCTCTCACCAGAGGCCGTCTGCAGGGTCACACCTGCTGGGACGTGGATCGGATAGCCAGGAAAGGCAAAGTTGGCACCACAGTTGGAGGTATTCTAGACAAAACAAGCGTTATTAGAAAGTTAGAAAAGGATCCGAATTATATATTTTATCACACTATCACGGGGACTCAAAAGTGTGATTCTCTAGGACACCATAGTTTGACTACACAACATTTAAGGCTGGACTGCACAGGTAGCTCAGCGGTTAAAAGCACTGGCTGTTCTTCCAGAGGACTCAGGTCCTCTGATCACTAGTTACTTAGTCCTCAGGAAGTCTCATAGCATTAGTGAGCGCAGCTATCATAATCCTGGCACCCACATGGCAGCTCACAACTGTAACTCCAGTTCCAGGGGATACGACACCCTCACACAGACAAATGTGCACATAAAAAATAAATAAATAAACATTTAAGGCTAAATTCTCTGACTAAACAGCATGTTAACATTTGGTTCAAATCATTCCATCAAGAGGAATTCCACTGCAGTAGTTAGCCGTGGGCCAATAAATCATCATGCTAGACTGGACACCATCCCATAACACTGACCCCATGCACAGCTCTGCCTGAACCTCAGATTCCCAAGGGGCCAAATGTAAGAGTCATAACTGTTTGCAAAGATCTTCCAGTCGAAATTGATCTTTAGCTGCATTTTAAAGTAAGATTTAATAGTGCATCTATAATGTATAATTTTATATGATTAAACCTAGGGTTTTTAAAAACCACTAAATGGAGACAAAGAAACATTTTTGTCTATCAGATCTGCAAAAATGAAAGAGATAAGTGTGAACTAAAGTTCCTGAAAAGGCCAGATCGCTGTTAATGATTCTGCAAACTGATTGGCTGGTTAGAATTTCAAAATCAGAGAGAGTTGGGATGTTTCAGATTGAGAGCCAAAATTATCTTGGAATTTGTTTAGTCCCCATAACAGCCATGTATCACCCACCTCTGTATCTGATCTAACATCCTCACTAACAGTTTGAACCTTTGGGATTTATAAGGCAGCACTAACTTCCCCAACCCAGAAGCCAAGAGTGTCTTCAAACACCTCTAAAACCTACCACAGAGATGTCACCTCTTTGCTGTTCCCTGCCTGCCTGATGTCCTCATGATGTATTTACTACATACACTGACTGCATCTTTGTTCTGTGACTATCAAAGGTCATACAAACATTCCTGTGATAAGCACATCATTCATGGCAGCCTGAACCCGTGTGCTTAGGCTGTGGTCACTCTCTCCCCTTAAACAAGAGCTGTGTTCTACTTTGGCATAAGCAATATGCAGTGTTGCTGAGGGCATGGTGAAAATTTGCTTTTCTCAGACGACTACTTATATAGAATGCACGCTGACTGGGACAACTCTTTGGAAGGACAATTTTGCAAATGCCAAAATGAAAGACATACATGACCATTGTCTCAGAAATTCAACCTCTAGGAATTTACCTGATTATCTCACAAACAGACATGTGCAAATATAACCAATAAAATTCTATTTTAGAAAATGGAAAATAGAGCCGGGCGGTGGTGGCGCACGCCTTTAATCCCAGCACTCGGGAGGCAGAGCCAGGCGGATCTCTGTGAGTTCGAGGCCAGCCTGGGCTACCAAGTGAGTCCCAGGAAAGGCGCAAAGCTACTCAGAGAAACCCTGTCTCGAAAAGCCAAAAAAAAAAAAAAAAAAAAAAAAATGGAAAATAGAAAATGTCCATCAACGAAATATTGCTTAACTACTATGGCAGATCTTAATTTACTAGCAAAGAGAGTTGTATATTATAGTAAAGGAGAGTACCATGGGAAGAAAGGAAGGAAAAAGGAAACAAGGAAGGAGGAAGGGAGGGAAGTGGGGAATAAGATTACAGAAACAGTGAAGAGCAATTCTACTGTGTACCTAAAAGATAATACAGCATTCAGGAAATAAGTTAGTGATTCCATTTTAAGATTTATTTATTTATTGTGTATACAGTGCTCTGCCTGCATGCCAGAAGAGGGCACCAGATCTCATTATGGATGGTTGTGAGCCACCATGTGGTTGCTGGGAATTGAACTCAGGACCTCTGGAAGAACAGCCAGTGCTCTTAACCTCTGAGCCATCTCTCCAGCCCATAGTGATTCCATCTTAAACAACTCCATTTTACAACGATTATCTTTGGGGGAATAGGCTCTTTCAGGGTTTGCTTTATGAATTTGTTTTTATTTTTTACAGAGTAGTATTTCTGTAATCAAGGAAAAAGATATTTCCGTAAATCTTAAAGACTGAGACGTCCCACTGGTCTCTCATCAAAACAAAGCCATTCCCAAGAAGCCCCTCATGGGAGTGTTATCTTAATGAATAAGGCAAATGGCGGCCCGCTCAGACTCGCACCCTGGAAAGACAGCGTGAAACAGTTCACGGATTATGACCATCAGTGCCGTGGAAGAGAAGGAAATGTGGAAGTGTTCCTGTCTATCTAAAAACTACTCGGTTTTCTATACATACAAATAATTTTATTTCTTGCCTCCAAGGCCTAAAGAAGGAAAATAATTCTACTTCACCCAAGTAAAAACAAACAAAAAAGCAAAATATTCTACTCAAATACAATGGAAAGCTATCAGATAACTACTCTTGAAGAAAAGAAAATCGGGAAAAAATAATCTCCTTCAGAAGCACCAGGTACGTACTTACGCAGCACATTAAATCCCCCCACACTGTAGTTCCAGGAATGTCCTAAGCTCAGTGAGCCTGAGCACCCTGGGAGAGCAGGGTAAGGGGACACTCAGTCACTCAAGGCTCCTGAGGTTTCCGAGGCATAGAGACCACTGCCGATCCCTCTGGCTTTCCACCTCTCCTCCCACTCAAGCTGAGGGCTGTCAACTCCGTCTGTGCTCCACCATCTGCCAGCCCTCAGCGAAGGGACAAGCTACATACCAGGTCTTCCGGTGTAAAACTCGGGAGAGGTCTACCAGCGGGGACCAGCAACGATGCTGCATGGAGAACAAGATGGGGTACAGCCATTAGAACTTAACCTCTTTATATGGCCACATGCAGATTGTTTCATTTTTAATATGTATTTATTGAAATTAATTTGTCTTGCACTATAGTCTGATCACAATCAATTGTAAATTATTTCTTAAACATATTCTCAATGGATCACGTTAGACCAAGCTAGATTCTAAACATAAGGTTCCATGTGAGGGGGGAAGTATTAAACTATATTTTTCCTAGCAACTTTAAAGACGTTACAACTAAATTACTTTAAGTTATCAAAGCCAAAGATCTCATTAAAATAAAACAGACTGTACTTCAGAAATCCATAATGAAACATACAGATTGCCTTTGGTAGTCAGGAAAGCTCTAACTCTCCATGACAACTCTTCACCGGGGAAAGAATAATATTAGAACATTGATGAGAGATGATACTATCGATAAAAAGCACATAAGCTGGGACAAACACCAACAATAAATAAAGAAAGAAACTGTGGTGAGTGAGTGGAGGGATGCCTCAATGGTTAGGAGCACGGACTGCTCTTCCCTCAGACCCGAGTTCTCTTCTTACACCTCATCGGGCTCACCTGTAACTCCAACTCCACAGGGAGTCGATACTTCTGACCTCTGTGGGCACCTGCACTCACGTGCACGTACACACTCACGTACAGACATGGAAGCATAATTAAAAAATAATTTTTTAAAAGAAAATGTGGTTCACGTACACAATGGAATTTTAAAAGAAAAATGAAATCATGACATTTGCAAGTCAAGAGCTGAAAGTCCTCATGTGACACACAGTCACTCAGAATGGCAGACAGCTCATGGTTTCTATCACATGAAACCTGGATTTAAAATCGGTGGATGTGCGCTCGCATGGCTGTGAGACGTATGTCTGTGTGATGGCGTGAGGGGGGACCATGACTGAGGAGGAAGAGATCTTCACGGGGGAAGGGGGAAGAGAGGGGAACAGAATATGTGACATGACTGTGGTGAGGGAAAGGGAACCAGCAGAGAGTGACGGGCGCAGGAGAGGACAGAGGGGGAGGAGCCAATCACATCAAAGGCTAATGACACACATGCACGAAAATGCCGTAATAAAGCTCGCTACTTTTGCATGCTAATTTAAAAATAATTTCTAAAAACAATGGCATTTTTGCCTCTAATGAAAGCAGGTTTTTAGCATGCTTATGCAGCCATGTATGTAGTGAGTGTGTTGTTAATTATGGCTTTTTCACACACTGCACTAAGGAACACTGCCCCAGGTCTGTTTTTTGACGCTAGAATGGCTCCATCACACACAACAAAAAGCTCAATAGAGCGCTTTTTTCAGAGCTAACCCTCCTCCCCACGTTAAGCAGAAGTGAGGCTGTGGACTGACAGCTAATGAAGCACACAATTATTTTTATCTTCCACTCATCTATGGCTCTGGTTATTAGCAGGCATTCTGCTAGAAAAGCCAAAGGAAGAACTGGAGTGTCAGGAACTCAGTGGTATTAGTCATGATTAGCTGGAGTGAGCAAAGCGGATGCCACTCCAGCTTAAGCCCTGCTCTTGAAGATACAAAACTCTTCTTCGGCATCTGAAACCTGAGAAAAACCAGCAGTGACCCTTCTCTCCTAAGCCCCTTGTGATAAATCCTAAAGGACAATTCTCCATATTTAAGTTACTCAAACAAAGCTATAAGGGAACTGCTAACACTTCTTCAGAGACCTCAGAATCAAAGCCAGAACTGACGGACCTGGGAAGTTCCAGGCACCTCCCCCACACTTAATTTTAATATGAGGTTCACAAGTTCTATCTCTATGTTAAACTTGCCTGAAAATTTAAAATATTCAACCTCGTTTCATAACCAAGTAACTTTTCATTAAATATGTATCTTAAAGGAAGTTTTATAATTTCAGATTCCATAGATGTATTCTAGGAACATTAAATTCAAAACAGTACATTTTTATAATGATAGCAAGAATTCAATTCTACAGTATAATGTAAAAATTTTCAACATATTTATCTGATCTAACAATATTTAAATTTGCAACCTTTTCCCAATCCACAACCAAAAATTCTGATACATTATAGCATTTGCTTTACAATTCCTGATCTCATTTTGAGTCTATACAAATCTTAATATGTGAGCCACATGTATTAGTTAGGGTAACAATTGCTTTGACAAAATGCCATGACCAAAGCAAGTAAAGGAGGAAAAGGTTTATTCAGCTTACACTTCCACATCACCGTTCATCACTGAAGGAAGTCAGTACAGGAACTCAAACAGAGCAGGAACCTGGAGGCAGGAGCCGGTGCAGAAACCGTGTTGGGGGCTGCTTACTGGCTTGCTCAGCCTGCTTTCTTATAGAACCCAGGATCAGCAGCCCAGGGATGACACCACCCACAATGGACTGGGCCCTCCCCCACCAATCACTAATTAAGAAGATGCCCTGGGCTTGCCGACAGCCTGATCTTATGGAGACATTTTCTCAATTGAGGTTCCCTCTTCTCAAATGACTCTAGCCTGTGTCAAGTTGACATAAACTAGCCAGCACACCACACGATTAAAAAATTCAGTATCTGGCCATTTTCCTCTTGAGCACATGGATGTTTCCTGATGCTGTAACTGAAACAGTCCCCAAAGTCACCAAAAGGGCGAGTGTAGGCATTCCCACCAGATCTAAGGTCTCAATAGTGTTTGCATTTGTACCTCCTATAGCTTAGGAGTTAGAATCTCAAAGAAAGATTCAGCACTGACACAGTGCTCCATGATTGGTACACAGTGGATACAGGTGTTGTGCGTGTGCATGGGGCACAGTGTGATACTT